ATGCATCTCTATACCAGAACAGCTGATTCAAATGATTGCTTGATGTCTTCTGCAGCCACCAAGTATTGCAGAAGCCTGTTAATCACCTAAGATTCAACTAGGTGTGTGGCAGAAGGAAAACACCTATGACACTCAGGGCAGGGGGCGTGAGGACAGGAATTGGAAAAACAACATATTTGACTATAGTAGTGTTGGCTGTGAGAGCAGAAACGAGTCCTAAAACTCATTTATTCTACGATAAAATGTAAAATAGGCAGAACCAATGATGTTGACAAAAAAAAAATCCTCCAAACGCTGAGGCGACATGCAACATGGCAACTGAACAAGGTGTTTGCATACATGGTAAAGCCAAAGTTAAAGAAAACCCATGTCAAACTGGCAAACCCTTCAGTTAAACTATTGCAAGTTTCTTTGAAGCAATTAACATTTAGGGCACCAAATACTAAAATATTTACAACATACAAAAAGTCCTTCAAATTAAAGACTTTAGAGAAGTGCAAACACTAAAAAATGCTATTTTCTGGTTAACTCTGCAACTGCTTTGATGAAGTGCAATTACAGAAAAACTGGAGAAATGTTCAATGAGGTGTGCTCCAACTGTACACAGTAAGAAATCTGAAGATAAAAAAAAAAAGAAACTTTTTTTGGACATAATTTACTTACTGCAGTGACAATGGGGTAGGTAACAACAGCACTCAGGTAGTTGGTGGCTAGGAACCAACAATATGTTCCCATCGTCCACATAAATCCTGACAGAAATGCTGAAGTACAGGCAGAGTGAGAATATTTTTAAAACCACAAAAAGGTCAAATAGTTTATACACTTTAAAAAAAAAATTTAAAAAAGCTTTTATCCCAAATAATTGGCCAGATCTTAAACACTGAACCCTTGCATCACTACTATATGCCACTAAGCAACAGGAAGCGATTACATGACATTTTCAAAACATCAGCCGATTCTGTCTTAGGGTCAAACTGGAGCTATTATTAGATCTTTTAGTGGCCTCTTGGGCACCATGTTTTCTTCATTCTTAGAAAAAGAGCATGTGGAAAATGAGAAGGGCATGCATCTTGACCTTGGCTACACAGAAATGCAATAAGCTCAACTACATTTGAGTTCCATCTGCAGTAAGCCATACACTTATTACTTCATGCTGCAAGGTTAATTACAAGTGTGAGCAAACAAAAATTTGAATATAAATGAGCAGTTTGATTATCATTGCAAGTTAGTCATTTGTGTTTAAACATGATATCATCCAGTTAAAATAGGCCTGGTGAAAGACTCATTAAAATGAGCTGCTACCTGGTAAAATGGCTCTGGGGTAAACCCTGGGTTTGTTTTTCATCACAGCACAGTAAATGGTGAAGTACACTGAGCTCGCAAGGAAAACACCAGAGGTCTGTGCATGAACATAGTCAAGATCTGCAAAAAAAATAAAAAAAATACTTCAGTTAAAGCAACTTCTCAGCAGGCGGAGGGATCACTGCGCTTCATGTATAGATCAAGAGTAGGAGCAATCCTGATAGTCAGCATGACATTTTAATTTTTTCCTTTTATTTTATGCTCATTTGGGAATAGCAACAAGTTGAAGGTTATCAAACCTACCATAGACACTGGCGCCATAAAACATGCTGTCACGACACGCTGCATGGTTCTTTATGTAGAGAACGGGTATGAATGACGAGCCGTACAGCAAGCCTGCCATAACGGCAAGCAGGCAACCACTGATGAAGAGAATACAAAGAGTGAAAAACTGGATGAAAAACTTTAAATCTCCTTTCAGAGCTTGCTCAATTTGTATGTTAATTTTAACATTTGTTCCCTACAGAACTGATAAATAGAAATGAAGCCATGCCTCGTCACACAATTTAACAAAGTGAATACTAAACATTCACTTCCAAAGCCATTTTAGTACCAAAAACATAAATCCTTTTGTATCTGATACTTCATGGTATAAATCCTTCCTTTCATTTTTCAAAGAAAGAAATCCAATCTCTGTGATAACTAAATATGCATTCTTGGGGTAGAATCAGCTTTCCAAACAAAGCTACAGCCCTTGACATCTAATAAGATCTAAACTTTTGAGTCAATAGTGCAGGTGAACATTAACAGCATGTATAATTATTGTGGTGTCTCAGAATGCATTATGTCCAGCGCTGATGATTTATTAAATTCCAAACATTTTTTTGTCCTCCAAATACAAAGCTGTGAGATCACACCAAGGCAGTGTTTGACCTTACATGATTCGCCTCTTCTTTGGTTCAATGGTATCAATCCAGTATGCAGAGGACCGGTGTATAAAACTGCCAGAAATGGATCTCTGGGGAAAAAAAAAAAAACAAAAAAAAAGTTTTACAATTCACAGTTAAAAAACAAAAAAAAAAAAAAAAAAAAAAATCACCCACCTTGTCAATTAGTAAAGGCATTGTTTCTGACTCTGGATGGAGATTCACATCACTTCTCACAAAGAAAAACACCAGGCCACTAAAGGGAATAAAACCCAGACCAGATTATCCAAACAGCATGACGGCTACATTTATGCCTAGTGACATAAAGGCTCCTAAAAGTTGCATAGCTCACCTGAGCAGACACAAGCCAGCTCCACAGTAATTCAGTATTGGCCTGGAAACATCCTGAGCATCAATCCCAAACCACCCAAATCTGTTTCAAACAGTGACATCCATTTTTATGACAACCTAAAGATTCCCACATAAATGCAGAAAAAAATAAAATAAATACAATTCAAGAGATTCATGCAATCACATCTCTTACCTAGAACTGGCCCAGCCCATCAACAGACTGGATGATCCCCAAATTAAAATTCCAAGACCAAGCCCAATTGCTTTAACAATGGTGACCACTGCCACACTTCCTGTGAATGAAAAGTTATTCTGTGTAAACTATTAGACTAATATTTATCCACAAAATGTTAAAACCCATTTCATAGACTAAAGCTTGAAGTTTTAAATACAGCTATTGAATTTTTAAATACTTAAAGTAAGCCCTCATCATACAATGAACAAAACAGGAATTAACCGAGTCAGAAAGCAAACATTTATTCTTGGACTTTAAGATATTCCACTTTTAATTTGCTCAATCTTTTGGCAACACGAGCATGGCCAAAGAAGCTCAAAAATTAATTCACATCTTCTCTAGATACAATTCTAGCCAGTTTCATGGAGCCTGCAGTAACTTATAGTGAAATTGACTGTACTCAGAATTGGCCATTTCTCACAGTAGAGACCATTATTATTATTATTATTATTATTATTAACGGCAATAAAAGAACTCCAGTTTTACATACTGAGCCCATCTTCTGCACCATACGATGCCAAACTGCAGAAAGAGGGGTTTTGCTTTAAGTTGTGATTTCCAGAGACGATACCTGTGGCCCAGATCATTCCACCAAGCATTGCAAGAGGCTGGAATTTGGGTGTTCGCAGCAACAGATCGCCAAAAAGAGATACAACCCATATTGATGCACAGCTCACAAAATGATAGAACATACCTATAAAGAGAGAGAAAAAAAGGGGGTTTTGCATTAAGTGTAGAAAAATGAATATTACACCAGATTTTCTCCACTTACCATCTCCTGTTTCTATTTTTTTGACTGGAACAAAGGTGCTTCCATACAGAACCACAGCAGCCATGTTTGCAATTAATCCATAAGCAAAATTAGTGGCGTTTGTAGAGTTACTGGGGACAACAGTTCCCTGGGGGCAAATTCCAGTTTCATTACAGCCTAAAGCATATGGACAAATGTCAGGGCAAACAATTTAATATGACAATTTTCAAAAATGATAATAATAATAATACACACACAAAGCTCAGTGAGCTCCACATTAATCACACAGCAATACTAACCCACCGTCAGCGCAGAGGCATCTCACCATCATTACAAATAAAAGCAGAGGCCAGCATTTTGCCAGAGGCATCATAAAAATGCAATACTCGTTCTTTTCCCTGTCGACACAAACTTCCCACAACCTTAAAACACCACAAGAGGCTAAAACACCACAAGAGGCCACGCGTGGGAGTCTGCAGAAGCCTGGAGAGCAAGCAGGTGCCGCCAGTTATCCAATCAGCCGAACCTGGCGCTTTAATTAAAGCCGCGGAGCATCAGGGAAGGCAGCAGCACGCGTGACGACAAGATGACATCAGAGTCTAATTTCATTTGTATAATTAGTTTTGCATGTAAATTCACTGACATTATCAACAATTTTTTAAAATCTTTAAACATTTTTTTCTAAAATCTCTGCAAAATTGCATTCCTTCACATCAACTCTTGTTTGATGACTCATATGGCACAACTGCAGACACAACAGAGCCAGGAGACAATGGTTCTATATTTAAACTCGTTTCGAGTTGGACCAGGAACTCCTCTGTCTGTGGTTCCCTGGCACAGTGCTCTCTGCACTGCAACATGTTTTCTTCCTTCTGATAAGTGTTTTCCTTTCCAGCCTGTTCCGATGGGATGTTCGTTATTCTTTCCCAGTGTGAACATCCTGCATTGACATGTTAAAACCCAAAGGTTAAAACCACCAGATGTCGCCTAAACCGCGGGAAAATGTGCATGCCTATAAATGATTCCGCTTTCAGAATTATAAATATAGTTTAGAACTTATTAAATTGAATGGTGTCAGTAAAACTGATAGTTGTTTTTGAAAAGACAATGTATCTTCAGAAAAGTCACAAAACTTCAGACAAGTTTTCTTAAGTGTCACAATGAATTTTATGTGAAAAAATATTCTTAGTTATATGTATGGGATCCATATTGTTATGATAACCTATGGAATGTTTGAATGAAGTATTCAGAATGTGAAGAGGTGAATATGAATCATTGCACTGCAGCCAATGTGAATTATGTTTTTTAAATGATCTATCTGTTCTTGCTGTCTATAAACTTTTAGAAAGCCTTTCCTCCGACGCTGAGTTTCAAACTCGCGCTCCTCCCCAGTTTGAGCAAAGTGACAAAACACTTTCAGCTTTAATAAATGACAATGGGGAAGTTCCGCGTCCACTGCTGTTATTTCCCCCTCCGAAAACTCCTCCGTAACTTTAGGAGGTTCTCTCTCTCCAAAAGAACTTTGATTGTAGCAACTCTGTGTTTGGCCAACTTGTTATTTTTGGTTTTAAAAGTTGGGCATTTAGAGCAACCCCGGAGCAGAAGGACTAACGAGGAGCGGAAGCGGCACACCCGCAGCGAGCATCACTCATTCGGGGAACTACCGGCCACTTCTGACCTGCAAACCCAGGCTAGTCTGGAGGTCCCGACCCTGTTCAATGTGGTCTACGTAACGCTAAAGTTCAAGAGCCTTAAACCAGCAAATGTTCGAGGTACAATCCGACCAAAGCTGAGAAAGAAAGTGAGAAGAAAAACAATCTATCCAACAATTACGCAGCGCAAACTGGAAAAAGGCCAAGTAAACCGCAGCCGAACCTGGCGCAGCACTGGGACATCGAGGAAAGCGGGACGTCTTGAGGAATTCTCCTTAAAGTCTTACAATGATGGAACAGACCCTCGGTTTAGTAGTATCCGAATTTACAGCGAAATGGCTCCTCAGTGGTTCAGCGCAATGGACGTGAAAAGCATGCGCTTTCTTGCGGATGCCAAAGTTTTGCGCATAAAAGAAATCCCTCGTCTGAACGCACCGTCCCTCGTGATATTTGAGGGTGCAGACATGGACCCTCAAACCCTCAGCCAAAAACACTTGAATAGAAATAATATATGTGGAGGCCAGTGCGGAATTATCCACTGCTCCGTGGGAAACACGGAGGTATTTGCTTTCCATTTGGACAGGGTGCTTGGCCTCAATAGGACAATACCTGCGGTAAGCAGAAAGTTTGGCTTTCTTAACGGTAGGTTTTCATTTTTATTTAGATTAGATATAATCCATAGGTTGTTCATTTATGCTGGTTTCTTTCAAAAACATTTCTTTCAAACCAACAACATGCATTCTGTGAATTGTTTTTTATTTTGCAGGTTTTACTTTGTTAGAGAACATCTTATATTAGTTGGACTTTTCACATTTTGTCACAATTACAAACCTGTTATGAGCTCTTCGTTAGAAACATGATGTATGGTTTTCAAATATCAAAGTTGTGCAATGACTGTTAAGTTTCCTTTAGTGTGAAAACCCCAAATAAAATCTGGTGTCTTTAAGAGTAATCTGATTGAGTCAACCAATGCTGTCATAAACCAGCGATGAAGGTTCTTAGAGAATGTTGGTGAACAAATAGTTCATAAAGACAGAAAAACACAGAAGACAAGTCAAAGAAAAAACTGATGGCTGCAAACCCATCAAGACATGGTCATCTACCAAATGCAGAAGAGTCTTACTTCAAAATTCTGACGTTTTTAATTGTAAAATACACAATGACACATTGCCTTTTTTGCTATATGATATAAAATCCCAATAAAACACATATATGTGACTGAATACACAAAAGTTCAGGTATGAATAATTTCTCCAGCCTCTTATTTCATTTTACCAAAGAGCTGCAGCACAGTTTGGATCTTTCTACATGCAGAGATGTTGGAAGCTTATTGCAACTGGAAGCAACTGTCTTTCCTTTGTTTTTCTGCCTTGCATTACAATAATCCTGCCTGTGACTAATGTCTTCATCTGCTTTCATATTCATGATGGATTTGAAATATTTCTAAATACATTAAGCTGAACCAGGAGAGACACATTATTTTTGCCCTGAGCTTCAGGTTCAGATATCCCTGGTTGCTTCTGCTGTTTAGTTTGCCTTTTAACCTTGTTTGGGAAGAAATAGCAGTAAATCTTTTTTGATACATCACATATGGAAAATTACAACATCAGCATTAACAGACCTTAGAGGAGTGTGGAAACATATGAGTCTTATCTTGGAGAGCAGATTGTTTCTCTCTCCTCTGTCTTTATCTGCTCAATTATAGGGTTCAAAATGAGGTTTTAGTGGTTCTAGCAAACTGAACTGAAACAGAACAGATATCTGTGGTTTACGAAGGTTTAGATGTCACATGTGCTCAAATCCAACAATTTAATTCCTGTTCTTTTGTCACTTTAGATGGTCAGGCCTGCCAGGTGGTTCTATGGGATGTATCGCTACACCCCAAAGACCTTGCTGCAGGCCCAGCTACTGTGAGGATGACATGGAGGGAGTACCAGACCTCACTGACACAGAGGTGTTGGCAAATAAATGTCAATCCAAAGGCCAACTCTGGATGCTCTTCAATTTATCACAGTGAATGGAGCAAATTAGCTCTTTTTGACTTTTTGCTACAGGTAAAAACTCTGATGGATTAAAGCTTTAAATTTAACATCACAGACAAATAAATTGTTTTAGTATTACTCTGAAACCATAAAAATGCAGCTGGAGCATCTCATTAGATTTGGGTGCTATGAAAGTTTCTGAAGACAAACTGCTTCTTTAATCCTTTCTTCCACTATCTTCTGCAGCACTATCTCCCTATAATTACTATTTAGATGCTCTTGTCTTTTGGCATAACAATGTCTTAAATCTACTGAGAAAAATGTATTCTTCCATAAAGGCTGTTCAGTAAACAAAAAAAGAAAAGAAAAAACAAAAAATTCATCATTCGTGTCCTGTCCGTTCATTTCCTGTGTGGGAGGTCTCTGTGTATATTGGCACTGACAGCAAATACTCTATTTTTAAAGAAAGCACAAAAAGTGGAAACTGATTAGTTTGGAAAAAAACATTTTATTACATAAATGTGTGCTTAAATTTGCCATTGTTCATGAATTAACAAACTTCAGTTAATATAATGTATTCTTTATACGTTTATGGTTTCATGGGTACACTTCTGTAATAGTAGCAAACTCATATATTAATTAGTCATATGTAACTGATGCCTGCTTGCAGTTGGAGGTGCATTTAGAGAAGAATGTCAGCTTAAACAAGAATAGCATTGTGAGTATTTAAGTGTTGTTTTCTAGGATTAAGCAGCTGTTGAAATTTAGTAGGTTGTTGCATTTTTTCAGTCTGAAACCTTTCTTGCATCATGTTGTTTTGTTAAGAGCAAAGAATGAACGAGTGCAGTAATCTAATTTATGGTCACCATTCCCTGTGGAGGCAGCAGGTGTTTTACAGCAGGAGGTTCTGCCTTTTCAGGCTTAAGAAGAGAATCCCCTCTGCGAAGATGTTATGCAGCTACGTGGTGGTCTAATTGGTGTTCCTTTAAATTACATAAAATGGTAACTTGAGTAAGAGACACTAAAGAGGAAATCAGCATGAGGTGTTTTTTTTCCTGGCTAAACCTTTTATACCTGATTTTCTTATATTAAAGTGGATCTTATGGATGCAAAATGGAGTGAGGGAAAATATCAAATAAAGGGTTTACCTTTGTTATCAACCTCATGCAAAGGGGATAAAAAAGAAAACTTAATCCTAATTTAAAATCTGTAAATCCCAGCTTGGGCTGTTTCTGAAGAAACGTGAACTGTCTCATTAGATCCACAACCGCCTGGATCCGAGCTGCTGCGGATTCACTCCACGGCAGGAGGATGTGTGTGTTCAACTGGGCCACCATGATATGTGTAAGGACCAGGAAAACATACAACTGGCAAACATCGTGCACAGGGAACATGACCTCAGGCACCTGGTCTTCACCAACAACAAAGGAATCTTCGACCACGATGAGGAAAATCTAGACTTCAGGCTTCTGGAAGGAATCAAGGAGTGAGTTTGCTACATCTTCATCACCGATGTTCAGATTTTAGGATATGTTTTTACAGTTTCTCACAAAAGTTTTATGTGACAGATTAACATATCACAGTATTCCATATTAATGCGACATAACAACAAAACATAGCATATGACTGAAAGGTGGATGTGTAATTTAATCTCAGTGTAAATACAGTTGTTTGATACATGTACAAACTGAATCAAAACTCTTCACGTGTCTCCCCAGGCTGCCAGAGCAGGCTGTGTCTGTGTTGAGGAACAGGAAGCTGAGGGAAAAACTTCTCCAATCGCTTTTTCTGGACCAGATGTACTGGGAAAGTCAGGGCGGCCGACAGGGCATCGACAAACTGATCGATGTGATTGAGAAGCGAGCCAACATCCTCCTCACCTACATCAATGCTCATGGGATCGGAGTTATCCCGATGAATGATTGATTTATATTTTACTAATGAAGGCAGTTTTTACTATTTTTATTATTTAAAATAGTAAAATCTGCAGCTAGATTTAAGTGAATGTGATGAAATAGAGGAATAATCATTTGTGACAGAAACTTTGAACTTGATTTGTGTCTTCAACCTATTTCAAAAGTATAAAAGTCAGCTTTGTCAGACAAAAACTCTTAAGAATGGTCAAAAAACAATCATTTGTTCTATATTTTTGCATACGGGGTCTCAAAATGTATAACTGAGAAGATACAGTCATCCACAAAGCAATAAAGAGCTAAAATCCTCTGTACTTATTTTCCTCACAGGCATTGATGCAAACAGCATGGCAAAGTCATTGCTCAATAATGTCTGCAAGGACAGAAAAATGAGTGCAGTGAATGAAGAATGGAAAACAGAAAGCATCAGGCAGCTAATTTCCATTAAACCAATTGAGAAATCACTGGCTTGGGAATCCTCTTGCACAATATTTCACACAGCTCTTTTCATTTTTCTGTTTGCCTTTTTATCTTGTGTGATTTTTTTACTTCAGTTCATAACTTTTGCTCATTGTGTAGTTTCAATAAAATCATACTAAAATTTGGAAAAATGGACATCATTGGGGTTCATTTTTACAGTCAACGTTTAATATTCCTGTATAATTTAACTGAATATTTCCTTCTAGAATACAACAATATACATACATGGAGGATTCATCTATTTTCTCTACAAAAATGCAGACTTTTTTTGTGTGTAAGATGATGACTATCATGTAATTTTTGTCAAATGAAATGTGTAAATATGCTTTTGGACAAAAAAGCCATTGTTTTTAAATAACATTTTACGAATGAATTAGAATCATGTCTCAATCAAAGTAAAAACAGGGAAACCCACCTCCTCACCTTTTGTTACATTTGGAAGGAATCAACATGTTTGTTTTTATTGTTTTCATTGTGGATCACATTTTTAATTATACAGCCTATTTATTAAGTTACTCCTAAAGAAGCTGGCTGAATTCAAACATATTGAAAACAATTGAAGCTTAAAGAAAAAAAAATTGTACTGTTTAAACAAAAATCCTTATATATATATATGTCACTCTGTGTGTGATGAAAGGGCATAATCTGAGTTTGATATTGTAATTTATTAAATTGCACCTTTACAGTGTTTATGAGTATTGTAGACTTTATTGTAGATTGTATATTATATCCTTAGGGCATCATACAAAGTATTGTTGTTATCGTGAATCTGGTCACATGACATAAATGTACTAACTTTAATTTGAACCAAACATAAATTTTAGTCATGGGCTGTTTTATGTTTTTAAATATTTATTTCTTTTTGTAGCAATTTTGTAATTTGTAGAAGTCCAAAAAGAAAACGTCCATAAATAATCAAATGCATTCACCCTAAGTAGAAGTTGTGGTTTATTATTGCTGTCATTGGTTTTTACAGTTTATATTTTTGGATATTAAAGTCGCTTCACTTCAAAATACAAATGAGCAAGCTGTTTTAGTTTCAGCAATAAAAGTAAAAAGCAAAATCAGAAGTCATTTGTATTCTCAAAGATTCGACTGGAAGTTGTTTGTTTGGTTTGGTGCATTAAGCTGCCTGTTGTTTTGGCCTCTGCTCACCTGAATTACTTAGAGTGGATTCCATGTCTTGTGTTTGTGTTTTAAAATAACCCCTACAGTTTGAAGACAAACTCTTCACACATATTCTCTTGTATTATCTCACCAAAGCACACAGACAAAAGATGACCTACATGGGTGAAACAATTGAAGCTAACAGAAACAAAAATAGACAGGGTGACTCTGGCTGGACCTTTACTGATGGTTTATTTCTCCACTTGAATTCAATCCCCTTCAGTGAAGCTAAAAAAAAAAGCCTTATGCAGAGTTCTGCTGACCTCAACTGCAAGATGAACGTCACAAGCAGCTGAACATCTGTCTGATGTTCAAATAAAAACAATACACTGAGCTGTTCCTCTTTCTTGAAACAACGTTCAGAATTACATTCACAAAACAAACCTCCACATGTATGTCAGCCTGTTAGGTATGAGTTAGCCTGGGCCCTTTTGTCCCCCACTGGCTCCTTTTCAACTTGATCAATTCTGCTTACTGGTTTTGTTTTGTGTTCGCTTTCTAATAATACAGAACATATCACAACAAACAGAATATCAAAGCAGCTTGTTTATTTCAGGGACGTGCCACCCGCTGTTTACTTTCATTCTGTGACACAGACTACAGCTGAGTTCTTTCCAAGAAAAAATCAGCAAAAACTGTATGTGTCACTTCCAAGTGAGCTGTGTTGATGGAAACATTCAACATCTGTGTGGTTCCCAAGGTTAGTTCTATAATCAGACAAATTAAATGAGGTTTATATTATACAAAATGTTGCTAAAATATATTTTTCTTGAAAGATTTGGCAAGACATTTGACAAATACCTCTAAATGTTGAATTTCCTAACTAAGCTAAACCAGTTGGAATTAAAATTCAGGGTTATTTTTTATTAGAGCTGTCAGAAAACCAACAAACTGATAAAAACCAAGAATAAGTCGCAATCCAATCTTTCCATTGGTTTTAAAAGCAATTAAAATAACTTTTTAGAGATAAAAAAAAACTGCCTTGAGTCAAATGTATAATGTATAGGTTGATGATGGTAGTATCTGTAATCACACTTTCTTGAAGTCTGTCAGTCTCTATAACTTCAATACGAATGGATTTCTCTCCTGTTTTTTGTTTGTTTGTTGTTGTTTTTTTGTTGTTTTTTTAGGAATAAATGTTTCTAAAAGTATCATGTTGAAAGGATGTGAGACTTCTTACCGAGGAGACTAAAATGGACAAGATTATGCACTTTTCCTTCAAAGATCACATCATCCAGAGAGTAAATTGGCCTGGAGCACAAATTCCTACTCATCTTCAAAAAACAGACTCTACACCACAAATAACTGCCCCATGACTTAGATTTAAAAGCAAAATCAAAGGATGAGGGAAGAGGACTCTATTGGTGATCGGATACAACAAATAGCTAAGGTGTTTTGTTTGTGAGTCTAAATTTGATCAGAAGCTAATTTTTTTTTAGCAGTTTCACTTTTAAAGTCATTGGCTGATGTCTGTGAATTATATTTATTAGTATCTGCTGTCTCAAAGTGGTATCCATAGATGCTTAGCCAGGATAATTAGATGGGTTATTTTTTATGTGTCTGAGCCAAGTGAGTCAACTGCGACTTCTATCAGTATTTAACTTCTATCCACCATATTTGTGGAATTAGCCTGGGGTAATTGTTAGGACCAACTTACATGTCAAAGCTGGACAGAGTGGCTTTGACATATGACTTCATCAGAAAAACATCATGGCAGCTGATAAAGAGCAGGTAAACCCTGAAGTAACACAGACTGATTTTGTAAAGAAAAGTGAAAGTGGACAGTTACTGCATTCCTCACAGTAAGAAGACCAACCTGAACTGGGGCAGAAATAAAAGCACCACTTGAATTGATTGCCATCATGCTTTATATTTGAATGTGCTGTCATGCTGAGGCTGTGTGCCTGTTTGCTAAGTATCCCATCTACTTCTCTCAGCCAGTATTTCCCCTGACTTCCTCTTTATTATAGGATATATCCCCAGGTATATTTTCACTTTATAAACTCTCAGTTGACCTTCAGACATTTTTATTTAACACCTTTACGGCACATTTTTTGATCTCAAGCAGAAAAAATATATAACTTTTTTGAGCTACAATTCTGAACAAAGTTGAAAATTAAATGTGAAAATTATAATCTAGGGTCGTAGGTACCTTTTCACCCTTTTGGAAATATATGTAACAAAGCATTGTTCCATTATAGCAAAGCGAAATCTGGATGAACATTTCTGGCAGGGACATTTTTTTTCCATAGCCAGAAAACCTGAAAATGTTTTTTTTATATGTTGATTTTATCTTTGGTAAAAGATGATGCACTCGTACTGGTAAGGCCTTACAAAGTGAACTAGAAAAATGTCAACATGAGTCAGATAAAGTCAGGCCACAGCTTGTTTTACTTCCAGCTAAACCTGCACCAGGCCTAGAGATGTGCTGATTCAGACCAAACGGGAGCAAAAAATTATATTAAAATTTGCTTTTGGGAGACATGCTCATCTGTAGAATAATAAATTGCATTTTTCTTCAGGTTGATAAAACATAAGACTGTCATTTTCTTTCTTTTACTATTTTTCTTTATTTTTGGAGACCTATCAAGGACCAGGCCTGAGCTTTATTGTATAGGATAATGTTTACTTTTCTGATTGGATTTTAAGTTCTACTTTCAAAGCTTTAATTGCTTTGAGAATAAATGTTACCCTAGGCCAGACAAATGTTTTTGCATATTCAGGAAACTTGAAATGTGACTGACTAATTAATGAACCAGTAATAAACACCAACATAAGTTCACCTTGGATTGTGTTTTTGTAGTTTGAATTGAAACCTAATAAAGGAAACAACAGAGATGATACCACCAGATTGAGGGCATGAACATTCAATATGTTTAATCCTCAAAAGAAAGTTCAGTGGATATAGTATATCAAATACCTTGACCCAAGTAACATAGTAAGTTTCTTGAGATTTAGTTGGAATGTTATTTCTTTTTCATTCTTAAAGAACTTCAAAACCCAAGTCAGCCACACTAAATCAGATTTTTGTTAAGAGGTGAAGGTGAAAAGCTTAAAGCTTGTCTGTGATGGAGCCCAGGAGTAAGACTAGCTTCCCTGAGAGCAATGAGCTGCATCATTGAAAACATCCAAGATAAGATTACACAGAATGCATGCACAACACGGAGGTGTCAGCTGCAGGGAAACAATCTATTGTGGGAAGCAGATCTGGTTGCTTTTTATGTCAGATTCTGCAGGAGGTCCACAGTCAGGAAGCAACCTCTGCTGCCCAATAGCTTCACTGAATGATGGTTTAAATGTCATGTGTTGCACGAGGATATTTGATCTCCAGTCTGACATTCAATGCACAATATCCTATTTAGGCATTTGTCTCCTTTTTTTAATGCCATAACGATGAGGTGTAGCATACTTTTCTGTTGAAGTGAGATAATAATCTAATGTTAAAAGCTGAACTGAATTTTTGGCTCTATTTCTAAATATCTTCATAAAATGGAAGCTGCATTTTGTGAATGAAAAGATTTAGGTTATTTTTTCAATGAGTGAATTCTTTCTGCTTTCTGCCAGACTAATTAGACTTACAATTCAATAAGCTCGCATTTATGTTTTTAAAAGTTGTTTTCTTAAAGGTCTGATATTCTACTTTTAAAGGTCATCTTTCCAAAACCTGTAAGTGGACAATCATTGTCATCTATCCCTGACATTTCAGTTTATGATTAAAAAAAAAATAAAAAAAAATTAGAAAACATTTCTGTTAAGTAATGGTACTATTGTCAAGTTCTGGTGACATCACTACTGTATCTGATGGGTTTGATGATGACACAAAATTTTAATTTTAATGAAATACGTTGAAGTTTCTGTTTGCAATATGATCCTCTCATTGGGCCCCAGGTAAGTCAAATGGTTCATATGTTTATTTTTAGTCGTCAAATTAAATCGGTGGCTCAGAGATAATAACATGATCAAGTCTAACAGAAAACCTTTTCAATTTTAACCTCTACACATAACCCGGGGAAAACTAGACGGTGGATGGATGAAATATTCAGAGGAAAGTAGTGGAATGGCTTTTTATGACAAATTCACTTTACTTAACATCACTGACTTATTTATTTTGGAAATATGCTTAAAAATGTTTTAACTTCGGTTTCTATATTGGCAAAGTGTTCCCAAGACTCTTAAGCATTTTCAGAATCAAATGTCTTTTGTGTCTTACCTTTCTTGGTAGGATTTTGATC